TATTTTTTTAAAAGCAAGACTTCAAGGATACTTCCTACAAAAATTATGATTATATTAGAATTTGAATTTTTCACTGACCCTTTGATATAAGGAATACCTTGAACTAAGATCTTTTGTGGTACATGTTCAGAACCACATATTACCAATATGTGTTTCCTGGTATTAACCACCTCAGAAGCAATGTAAAATTATGGGAGAAGAAATAATAATATCTATTCAAAAGAAATAATGTGCACTACTCAAGAGGGAACAGTGACACCTCTTTGCCTACCCAACATCCACTCCTCTCTTACGCCTTTCCAACAGAATACTCAATTCATTCACGTGTCCACCCTCAGCTCCAAGGGTGGGTCCTGATTAGTGTAAGCTGTTATTTAATCTTGGATAGAACTAAACAGACTGAAGGGGAAGATATACTCTAGGATGGCAGCAACAGATCACACTCTGCTTGTAGACTGAATTGGTTACCACTAATTTCAAGGAGGAAACCAGCCTCTGAATAACAACTTTGGGAAGAGCAAGGCAGAGAAAGAAACTGGATCTGTGATGAAGTCATTAATTTGCTGACTCAAATAATTTTGGAACCTACTATTCTGCACTTCCTATTATGTATCCTAATATGGTTCTTTTCAAGCAAATTTAAGTCAGGCTACATAAAACCTTTTTTATGCAGTCAAAAGCACCCTAATTAATATGGAAAGAAATCAATCATTTGGAATTCTCTTAACAAAACAGCTCAAATAGTATATGTTAATATGTGTTAACACCTTAATCCTTAGAACTATTTATAATTATCTTTTGATCATAAAAAGAAGTTTAACTATCCCATCTGCCACACTGTCTCAGGAGTCACTAAGATATTAGTATACATGGATGCATCTTTCTTAAAAATTTAAAAAGGAAAAAAAACTTACATATATTTATAAATTTTTGCTTTTTATGTCAACAAATTCAAAAAAGGAAAGAACAATCTTCGGTCCCTTCTAGGGCTTGCATTTAATTGACAATAATAATCAGATTTAGTTTATAAGAAAATTGAGGCAATTCATATATATAACAGTTTGTAACTCATGTATGAACAGCACATTTTATACATGCACGATCTTTTGTATCTGTGGAAACAACTACTATAATTCATAAAAAAGAAAAACATGTTCACTTTATTTATAGTGACATGTCATGGTTTATTAATAACAAAGGAATCAAAACCCAAGGGTTTTGTTTGATGAAGGTGTAAAAATAAATCTGGCTTATTAACTATACACCTCATTAGTTCTTTATGGACAAATATTGCCAAGCAAATATTAAAAGACTAAAGTTTACTGTTGCCAAGTTGCTGGGGCTAACCATCAATTAAAGAAACAGTTAAACCAAGAAAAAACACTTGAACTTCTGCAGTCATAGCTCAAGGAAATAGAGGGCAAAAACAAGAGGTGACAACATTCTGAGTCCACCCTTGAATTAATATCTGACTCTAGCAGAATGAACCAAAAACTTCAGTTTAGCAACATAGATGTGTGACTTCATATATATCACACCTCACAGCAGCTGGAAGGCACAATCAAATCTAAAAAATCTAGTAATCTATTACAGCAGGAAACAGAAATCTGCACTTATTAAAGGGTAAAGATGAACATATAAATTGTTGTATTAAGAGGAAGGACGGGGCGCCTGGCTGGCTCAGTTGGAAGACCACAAGATTCTTGATCTCAGGTTGGGAGCTGGAGCCCCATGTTGGGTGTAGAGATTACTAAAAAATAAATAATAAATAAACTCTTTTTTAAAAAGAAGGATAAATGAGGAATGGAAATCCAATGCAATAAGGGCAACTGGTTGGCAAATGGTTCAACAGTTTTCAAATTGCTTAGTGCTAAACCATTATTATGGGAATCAAATCTCAGCATCTTATCAGAATGACACCCTTAGGGGCTGCTTAATAAATTACATTCAAAACTGTCAGTCTTGTTGAATACATACTTCTTAGAAACTTCTTCAACTTAAAACAGAAACAGCTGAAGTAACAGCTATCCACCATTGCTTTTATCCTGAAGGCATGAATTCTTAAAACCTCCAGTTAATGAAGGACAAAATTTTAAAAGGTGGAAGGAGCCTTAGGAAGTCACTTCTAATCCAAACTCCATATTAGGCTAGGAGAATCTAATGAATACATTAAGCAAAGACTTTTGAGAGCTTTCTATCTTCAAAATTCAAATGTTGGTTGCAAGGGGTGACACAAATATATCTAAAACCTGATACCTCCTCTCAAGGAATCTATAGGATGCCCCAAGGAATTATAGACTGTGAAACCGAATACTGTACCATAATAAAGATAAAAATAAAATCCTAAGAACCAAGAGGAGTCATCCAGCAAGATAAAGAGCTTCAGGAAATGCTTAAGTGATGTCTGAGTTAAATGTGGAACAAGAGGTCAAATCTGGACATTTGGCAATGCAAAGGAAGGACATTCCAGGCAGTGAGAATAGAATAACTCTGAAGCCCTATACAAACAGACCTCATTTCCAAATACTCTTTCCTTACATAGTCTGCTTTGGCCATGCTGTTTCTTGGTGTTCTTCAAACAGGACAGGATCTGCAAACAGCCATTCCATCCTCAGGTCCTTTGCATCTGCTGCTCCCTCTGCCTGGAATGATCTACCCTCAGATTCCTGCAAGGCTAGCTTTCTTAACCTACTTCAAGTCTTTGCTCAAATGTCACCTTTTCAGTGAGGACTTACTTGACTATCCTATTTTAAATTGTCATCCTCACACTCCCTTGTCACCACTTTATTTTTTCCACAGCACTTACTACTATCTGACATGGTATATATATATTCTACTACTTATTAGCTTTGTCCATCCCCTTGCTGAAAGAGCAGAAGTTATGTTTGTTCATTTCTAGATTTTAAAACACTGCCTGGACATGGTAGACATGAAATGAATATATGCTGACAAACTGGCTGATGGCATAAAGGAATGGAAAAGATTTCTGCCCTGAAATAAGTTATGTTACAGTACTCTTAACCAACAAAAACAAATATATAGTTGGCAAAACCCAATTTGGGAAAGACTAATGCACAGATACAGTTCCTGACATTACCACTTCTACATGTCCAGTGAGCACCAGATTCTTCTTTTTACACCTCTTAGCTCCCTGTCCCCAGTAACACTGTCACTAACGCAATGGCCAAAAATGACATGAGAATTGCCAGTGATGCCAGGCATCAGTGCCTTCCCACAGTAACCTTCATTGCTACCTCTAAGCAAAGGTAAAAGGTACTTCTACTTCCATTTTTGGACAAGAGAAAGATGTATTCCTGGATTTCCAAATTAAATACATCTTTCTGAGGATGCTTAAATTCTACACTACTTGAGTGGTTACATTGATATCATGAATTAGCCAGGAAACTTACAATTTTGAATACTGTTACCAAGTGTAGCTATGAAAAAAACACATCTTTGATTTCTGTTTCAGTATTGCAAAATACCTTTTCTATACTGCCAACAGATGACCCAGGGAATACGGTTTTAAGAAAAAGATTCCGCCAATAAAGACCAATACTGTATTTTAGGCAAACGGGTAACAATTTACAGCGAAGGGCATTTTTTTTTTCCACTCAGAAGGATCAACTATGATTTTATTCTGGGTGAAAAAATGACATCGAGTTCGTAAACAAGAGCATTAGTATTTGAATTATACTATACTAAAACCAAACAGGAACAGAAAAAAAATTCTTTATCACCAGCAGAAGCAAAATTACTTAAGGAAATGAGGAATAAGCTCAAGATTTCTCACTTCAGCTAACACCTCCACAGACTGCATTATCATTTTAAGCGAAGTGACATTTTCACATTTAATTTTTAACGGCAGGCATCATTTCCATCTGGGGTTCATCCGCACAAAAGTGCTAGCCTTGGCACAATTTCAATATTTAACCGAAAGTTCATTTCTGACTATAAGCAAAATGCCCCGATACGACCCAATAGTTAATACCTCTACATGAATCCTTAACACTGGCAGCTCAATTTTACGTTTTACCTAGTGGTGAATTTTGCCTTCAGACAGACACCTATGTCTGTAACCCTCCCTCAATCATTAAGAAGTGACTTATCTTTACCCCCCCTTAAAACCTGCATTTTTTTTTTTTGCAACACCATTTACACTCCACAGAGAATTTTACGAATATGACCATTCTTCGTAAGTAGAAGAACAGCTACAAACGAGACCCCATTCCCTTAGGTAGAGAAATGCCAAACCAGCAGCTGCCATCCTAACTTTCAGGTAGGGACAGTCACAGCTGTCACGGGTCAAACGTCGCCAGTTATTACTGCAGGACCTCCTTCACGGCCACTAGGGGAAAAGCCCCATAAAACAATGTTCGGTCCTCACTGATCTTTTTCTCTAATAAGGAGACACCTGAAAGTCACACTGGGCGGCCGATGGCTGTAACGGCAGCACCCAGGAGAGACTGTGCAGAGCGAGCGCTTAGGCGAAAGCAGGAAGCCCAAGTTCCTGCGCGACGAGAGGACTACCGGGAAAAACAGGAGCCCATCTGTCCACAGGAGGAGAGAAAGAAGTCGGCCGGGAGAGGCTGCGAGTCGGGGAGGTGGGGCGGCGAGCCCCGGCCGCTCCGCGCGCACCGAGCCGCGGGCGGCGGGCAGGCCGGAGCGCCGGGTGGGGGGCGGGCGCAGGTGGGCTGCGGCCGCCCGACCGCCAAGGGCCCCCCGCCCCGGGAAGTCCCCAGGGCCTCGCCCGCGCCGCGGGGAAGCCGCCCAGCCCACAGACGGGCGCAGGAGCCGCCGGGGCAGAGCCACGTCGGAGGACAGAAGCGCGGCGGGAGGTGAGCATCCCTCTTGCCCCCGGCGGGAGGCTGACAGCCCGGGAGCGCGAGGCGGCCGGGGGCGCGCGAAGGGCCGCGGCGCGCCGGAGGGGGTCGCCCTGAGGGCGCTGCCAGCCGCCACCGACTCCCCCTCGCGCGGATCGGCGGCGCCGGGATACTCACGTAGGGCTGGTAGAACTTGGAGAGCCGCGGCTTCCCGTGGTTGTTGAAGATGAGGATCGCCTTGATCATGGCTGAGCCGGGCCGACCGGGTGGGCGCTGGGGGCCAGGGCGGGGGCGGGCGCGCGAGCCTCGCCTCGGGATCTCGCCGGCGATCCTTCCCCACCCGCCCCCTCCCGCACGCGCGCGCGCGCGCTCCCGAGCCGCGGGGCGGGGCCGGGGCGGGGCCGGGGCGGGGCCGGCGCGAAGGGAAGCGGAAACATCTCCAGTCCGGAGCCCGCTAGTCAGCGAGGCGCATGCGCACTTGGCGGCGCGCGGTTACGTGGTTCGCAGATTTCTTCCGGAGGATTGTTGCCGTGCAAAAGCGTAGGTGCGGTATTAACAGTCAGGGCTCTGAGACAGGTTCCACGTAGAGGACCAACCGACAACTCCCAACTTTCACCTTTGGGTTGGGTTCCCCCCACCACCACTCCGGCGCCTCCTTAGCGACGCCCCCGGCGTAGAGCCCGCCCACTGTTGAACACGCCGAGCTACCACTTCCGCCCTCGCGTTCCACTGAGCAAGATGGCTGAGGAGCCGGAGTCCGCGTTGCAGCTCCCTCCCTCAACTGCTGCTGATGGCGAAGGACCTACAGAGGTCTCCCCAGAAACAGCCACTCCGGAGCCCCCTTCTTCCGCCGCGGTCTCCCCGGGGACAGAGGAACCTGCCGGCGACACCAAGAAAAAAAGTAATTTTGAGAGCAGTTTCTTTCTAGGCAGAGGCGGGAGGTTTAGATTGCGTCCGACTAGGTCCCTGGCGGCCAATAAAGGGGCAAAATTTAGAGGAGGGCTGGTCCCAGTCGTAGCTTTTGACCAGTGAGGAGAGAGGAAGTGTAATTTTCGGCTTTCGGGACCTTTGAGTTGAGAGCCTCGCAGGGGAGCCGTCTCTGGACGCACCTTCGCGGTGTGGTGCGGGTCCTTGGCCGCCACAGTACTTGTTACACTGCATTCCACTCTTCCTTTGAGTTGGCCAGACTGCGGGCTCTTTGAAGGTGGGAGCTGAGTGGGATCTCGGGTGGCTCCAGGGGCTTAATACGGGACGTAATTATTTGATTAATGACTTAAGGTCTTAGGGATGGTCGGTAGCAAGTCTGGATTAGAATCCACGCCTTCCGGCAAGTTCGCTGCTTCTTACATCAACTGCGTGTGAATTCACTCCTTGCACCAAAAAAAAAAAACCTGAAGTTTTACCAAGTATGAAGAGTGGTAAGAGAAAACCAAAGGCATAGGTATCGCCTTCTCCTCCGCCCTACCCCAAACCACCCCAAAGGTTTGGAACCTTTATAAGCGAGTCATTTCATTCCTTGAATTAGTCCTCGATCCTTCATTGCTTGAGAATTGGTTCGCCATTGTAAAATACGGAAAATCCTAAGGAAGTCACTTGTCCTTGAGCATTCTGTGTAGAGTTGCCTCTGAGAAAATCCTCACATCAGCGGTTACGATTCGGATTGGTTGACCCTAGGCTTCGGTTTTTCTCAGTACAGAGTTTTAAAGTATGGGTATGGCATGTTTTGTACTCCGTGATCTCACAGCCTTTCAGTAGAACTTCAGTTTCTGCTGCTTTTGGAGAATGGTCTCCTGGCACTCTCCCTTTGAAGTCAGACCACCTCTACCTTTGGGGGGAAACTTACTCTGTCATTTCCACATGATGCCCTAGTAGAGTAACAGAAACTTGTGATTATTTCTGTAAAGAAGCACTAGAGTCTTTCTGAAGAATTCCATGATTTTTACAGATTCTTGCTCTCTTTTTTCCTCATTTTACTATAAGCAGAAACAGACTTTTCCAGGGTTTTTTGTTGTTGAGAGTTTTTTTTGTTTGTTCGTTTTTTGGGGGGGGGGGTTGACTTTGACACCCTTAGTCAAAAGCTTACTACTTGACCCTGAAGATAGCTGAGTAAAACAGAGGCAAAAAATGAATGGCCCATAACCCAGATATGGCCTCAGGTTATATAGTATGTTTTCTTTGGTCTGCATAGTTTTCTTTTTCCTTAAACCACCATTGAAAAATAGTATTTTCATTTTCTGGCCCTTGGGCATTTGAGTTTGCCTCTGTGATGAAAAACTTAGTTTCTAGCTATTGAATTTCTACCCTCAAGTTACTGTCCTTTTTTGAGGACCTCTTATGGAAGAAGCTTCAATATTTCATATGCTCCACCTTTAGTTTAAGCTACAGAAGAATAAAGATTCCTGAAGCTGACCAAGGTTGTTGGTCCTTAGGAACTCATTAGGATTACTTGGGAGAACTTTCGACCTTACCAGTGCACTACTTAGAGAAGATTCTAATGTAATTGATGTGGATACCTGTATTCTTGCAAATGTTAATTCTAATGTATAGTTATAGTTGAGAACTCTAAGCAAATCACCTTTAGAATTAAAAAAAAAGTTACAGCTGTAACTACAGTAAGTAACTTTCCTTCTTTAGCTTCTTGCCTTCCCGCTTTTCTTCCTTCAGTGTATATATAACTCAGTATTTTCTGCCTCACTTGCTGAAATACCCAAGTCCCAAGGGATTAAGGGAGGTATGGAAGCTGAGTCAACCAAAATCTTCTGTTATCTCCCAGTTCATTAAATAACTGAAGCTATAATTATTAAATGGAGAAAGGAAGGTAAACTTTCAGGAAGATAAATTGTATGTGTCCTGTGTTCTAGGTACCTTCATTCCAGGGGCAAACTTAAATTGATTGCAGTGACCTGGTGGGAATCTCAATTTTTAATACCAAAGAATGAAACAAGGAAGATGTAGTAGCATGGAGCTAACTTTAGGGGGCAGCAGTACACTATTTTGCTTTCAGTATTACTTTTGGGATTGTAGATACCTGATTTTTTTTGTTAAGATTTTATTTATTTGTCAGAGAGAGAGAGCACAAGCAGGGGGGAGCGGCAGGCAGAGGGAGAAGCAGGCTCCCCGCTGAGCAGGGAGCCCGATGCAGAACTCGAATCCAGGACCCTGGAATCATGACCTGAGCCAAAGGCAGACGCTTAACCACCTGAGCCACCCAGGCATCCCTGTCTGGGTTATTGAAACTTGATTTCACTGTCTGAAATCTTTTGGCTCCTAGTTGTATTTTCTTTTTAATACTTTTTATTACTTAATATTAAGTATATTGTAGAAAATTGGTGGTTACAAAAAGCACAAGTAAAATCAAGTGATCGTCTGTAATGTCACTACTGAGAAGTAGCAGTTTGGTTCATATTCCACATTTCTGTGAACATGTGTTTGTGGTGGTTTTAATGAAATTGATATCCTATTGTACATTGCTGTTTTGTATTTAGTACATTTTGATAACTTGGTCATACTGTTAAGTATGCTTTTATAATGTTTCTTTCATGGCAGCTTAATAATCTTAGGGTTCAGTAAGTATGAGTTATTAGCTGATACTGTTCTAAGTACTTTACATGTATTAACTAATTTAATCCTCACAACAGCCTTGTGAGGTAGATGATATCCTCACTTTACAAATGGAGAAACTGGCACAGGGTGATTAAAAGGTTGTCCCCATATATATCCCTAGCAAGTGATAGAAGCAGGATTTTGAACCCAGGGAATTTAGAATTTTGTGCTTTACTATATTATATAAATTCTGTCATAGAGTGTAATATCCTTTATTTTTATTTAACCAATCTTCTAAATATCCTTGCTGGGTATTTAGGTTTACCAAGGTTTTGTTTTTTTGTTTTTTGCTTTTTTCCCTGTAAAAATAAAATCTTCAACAAAGGTGAAATCCTTCTAAGTGACTCTTCACATCTCATATTTTCTTAGACTAGATTCCTAGAAGTGTTATTGAGCCAAAGTATATCTTGAAGTATTTGGATATCTATTACCGTAATGTTCTCCAGAAAGGTATACATACAATTGTGCTTTCCCAACAGCAATATTTTTTTTTGAGATTTTATTTATTTATTTGAGAGAGAGAGGGATAAGAGAGAGCACAAGCAGTGGGGGAGGGGACAGGGAGAAGCAGGGTCCCCACTGAGCAGGGAGCCCGACGTGGGGCTTGATCCCAGGACCCTGGGATCATGACCTGAGCCGAAGGCACACGCTTAACTGACTGAGCCACCCAGGCGCCCCTCCCAACAGTAATATTGTCTGTACCCTTGTAATTTTACTAGTTTGCCCATTGAAAAAGAACATAACGTTATCTTATGTATTTTTTTCTTTTCTACTATGTTTTCTTCTATCTTTATTTCTTTGGAATTACCTGTTATGTCCAAATGCATTTTAAAGGTCAGTTTCATGGGGAGACCTTTGTGGAACTGTAGAATCAAGGGAAAAAATCCACAAAAGCATGAGAAAGAATACTACCTAACATTTCTACATCTTGGACGTGCCTCCAGTATCAATAAATACATAAACTGTATATCGATTAAAAGTTTAAGTTTTCTGAAGTCTTTTATATCACATTTTCTTTGGATGGTTCGTTGTAATTGCCAGTGTTTTTTTCTTTGACAGTTGATGTCCTGTTGAAGGCTGTGGGAGACACCCCTATAATGAAAACAAAGAAGTGGGCTGTAGAGCGAACCCGAACCATTCAAGGACTCATTGACTTCATCAAAAAATTCCTTAAGCTTGTGGCCTCTGAACAGTTGGTATGAAAGCAACGGTGATCATTTCCCTGCGTAAATTCGCAGTAGTTCCTAGGCAACTATGAATAATTGTTGTACACAGAAATGAATATGGAGCCACATATGTTCCTTTAGAAATGTCTTTATTTCTTTTGTTGATGGGATTTCTGTACTTTATTGAATTCTGTGTGGAACTCTGAAATGAAATGATTTTTAGATTTGCTTTTATGGTGCAAACCACTTTTTTACCTACTGTATTGGTTTGTTTTTTTCTCAGTCACTGCCCATGCAGAAAGATCTCTCATAAAACATTAGTACAGAGAAGTTCTGGGATTTTTAAAATTTGTTTTGCTATCAGTGTTCCTTCCCAGTATTCTTGAGGTAAGCAATATATCTTTTGCAATGTCATGGAAGAACTAAGAGAGATACCTATTTCATAGTACAATACATGGTAAGCACTTTGTGGTGGTGTTTGTAAGGAGTAATATTTTTTTTTTGAAGATTTTATTTATTTATTTGATAGAGCAAGAGAGCACAAGCAGGGGGAACAGTAGAGGGAGAGGGAGAAGCAGGTTCCCCGCCAAGCAGGGAGTCTGATGCGGGGCTCAATCCCAGGACTCTGGGATCATGACCTGAGCCGAAGGCAGACGCTTAACCATCTGAGCCACCCAGGTGCCCCAGGATTAATATTTTAAATGCCACTGGTTTTTAACTTGGTATTTTACTACAGAATTTTAAATGGCTACATGTATTTGGTATTTCTTTTTTTGTCACGTGTTATAAGTAATATATCAGACACCTTTATCTGCAGATCATAATCTGCAGATTGGTTGGTACTAACACGGGTAGTATATGAGTAGTTAGTAAATGAATCACTAAGTATTTTTAAAATACAAATTAGGATTTGTATGTATTAGTGTTGGGGAGGGATATAGTTGCTTATGAACTTAGAAGTAAGAATGCATAAAATGAGTGAATTAATTTATTAAAGTGGTATGTGTTGAATTTCTTTCTTTCTGTCATTGAGGAGGAAGAAACTGACCTAAGAGTTTGGCTATAAGTGGCTCTCATGAAAGGATTATAGGTACAAAAGTAAGTGCCTGGTAGGTCAATCACTAGAAGGTATTTGAAGCAGGAATAGCATAGAGCCAAAGATTCCTCCAGAGGAAGTTGCCTTTGTGATCAACTAGAGTGAGAAAATCATGTTTTGTAAGAGTGCCATATAGAATTTAATTAAAGAAGTGCCAGAGATGGATGCATATGGTAACTAAAACCTCAGGAGCAGAGGACTTGACTAGCATCCAAGTCTAAATGGAAAAGTTAGGGGACTGAAGACATAGACTTGAGAGAAATGAGTAGAGGCTATCTGTACTAAGGTTGCAGCCTGAAGAGTTGGTGAAATAGAAAACCAGAAGAGTACCAAAAAATTAAGGCATTACTATAAGAAATTTATGAAAAGAAGATGAAACGCTGCTATGTCCTATGTTAATGTTAAGAGTCTTGACTCTTTGTGTTGCCTATATTCCATAGTCTGAAAGGACTTGTGGATAGCAATTTGTATTAGGTTGAACCATGTAAAATTGCCATCAGTCAACCATTATAACATAGAAAAATGGCAATTTCATGTGGTTCAACTTTATTTTTTTAATGGGATTTTTTTTTTAAGATTTTATTTATTTGTTTGACATAGAGAGTGAGAGAGCACGAGCAGCAGAGGGAGAAGCAGGCTCTGAGCAAAGAGCCTGATGGGGGCTCGCTCGATCCCAGGACTCCAGGACCATGACCTGAGCTGAAGGCAGATGCTTAACCGACATGAGGTGTCACTCATGTGGTTCAACTTTAAACCTTTGTAGTGAATCTGATTAGTTCTTTCCGTTTAAGCAGTAAGAAACAAACAAAAGTAGAATCATTTGTCACTTCCCTAGACTGAACTAGAACTCACATCTGACTTTCATCTAGCTGTACCCCACAGTATTTTAAGCAAAACGGATGTTAGGGAAAACATATGCTAGGGATTCTGTGAAGATAGCAGTGGTGTCAGAGGCATGATTGGATCTTCAGATTCCCACAAAAATGTTTCTTCTTTTTTTGAAGATTTTATTTATTTTTCAACAGAGAGAGAGACAGCGAGAGAGGGAACACAAGCAGGGGGAGTGGGAGAGGGAGAAGCAGGCTTCCCGCCGAGCAGGGAGCCCGATGCGGGACTCGATCCCAGGACCCTGGGATCATGACCTGAGCCGAAGGCAGACGCTTAACGAACTGAGCCACCCAGGCGCCCCCACAAAAATGTTTTTGACTAGACAGCAAAACCAAGAAACAGTTGATGAGTATTTATAACAAACCTAGATAGGGGAGTATCCTCATGAACCCTAAAATGCATGGTATCACCAAATGTACTGAAAGAAGCAACAGGATTGGCACCTGGCAGCACTGAGAGAAGGAGAGCCGGTATTCACTGGGAAGGAGAGCATGCCAATTTAAGTATGGTAGCTGAAATTGAGAGGGTTTGCTCCTCTCTGGTAGCAGGTGATTACAATGCATCTGTCCCAAGGAGGACTGAAGGGGCTGGAGCAGTCTAGCCCCAGAGGGCTCTCCAAACAGACTCAGTAGGGCTCCCTTGCAGGACAAGACCCCACACTGAGGAGGAACTTCTGGAAGTGAAACAAAATTGAACAAGGTTAGGAACATGAGAGAAGGAGAGAGAAAGACCAGATAAAGAGGAGGGGAATAGGGTGGAAAGCTAAAGTTGAAGAAAACTAATTACATATTAAAATAAGCAACAGGGGGGCTCCAGCATAGCACAGTTGGTTAAGCGTCTGACTCTTGGTTTCTGCTTGGGTTCTGATCTCGGTCGTGAGATCGAGCCGCATGTCAGGCTCTGCCCTTGGCACAGAGTCTGCTTGAGATTCTTTCTCTTCCTCAGATCCTCCCACTCATGCTCTCAGTCTCTCAAATAAATAAGTAAATCTTTAAAAAAAAAAAAATAAGCAATGGAGAAGTAGAGTGTCAAATCCCATACGATGTTATAAGAAAGAAAAATAACATTTCTAAAGACAATGAAGGCATGCCAGGAAGATGTGCCTGTGATACAGGTCGGTAACTAACTTAATATTTCAAAACGAGCTAAAAGACATTAAGAAAATGATACAAGATGTGAAAGAACAATAGAAATCAGCATTAGAAAAATTCAGTTGAAGTGACAGAACTCAGGGAAAGAACTATAAATAAAAGTTATTTCAGAAATGGAGATTCGAGGGGCCCCTGGGTGGCTCAGTCGGTTAAGCGGCTGCCTTCGGCTCAGGTCATGATCCCGGGGTCCTGGGATCCAGCCCTGAATCTGGCCCCCTGCTCTGCGGAGAGCCTGCTTCTCCCTCTTCCTCTGCCTGCCACTCTGCCCTCTTGTGCTCTCTATCTATCTGTCAAATAAATAAATAAAATCTTAAAAAAAAAAAAGAAATGGAGATTCAAGTAGGAGAAACATAAGAGCAAATAACTGAGAATGCCTTAGGAAAAATAGAAGGCAAAAAACCCAATTTTTTTTTTTAGGAGAGAGGCAGAGGGAGAGGGGGAGAGAATCTTAAGCAGTCTCCACGCCCAGTGCAGAGCCCGACACAGGGCTCGATCTCACAACGCTGTGATGAAATCAAGAGTCAGACACTTAATTGACTGAGCCACCCAGGAGCCCAGTAAAGGCCAATTTTTTTTCATCAGAAAGGTAAAAATTTCAGAAAAGGAGGCAAATAATTGAGTATGAACAAAGGAAAGTGAACATACGGTTAACAGGAGTTCCTGAAAAAGCAAAGGAACAAAACAAATAACTATAAATCAAGGGAAATTTCTTAATAAAATTTGAAACAACATATTGAAAAGTTACCTGAGAATATCAACAAAGAATAACAAGCACCAAGAAATATTCTGGTAAGATTAACTAGGCTTGAAATAAAAAGAAAAAACTCCTTTGGACACATAGGGAAAAAAAGACATGACTTTGAAAGAAAATTAGATTATCATCAAATGTTGATAGCAAAGTTATAAGGAAAGAAATTGTGAGATAAGAATTTTATATTCAACAAAGCTGACTTTTAAAGTATTTATTTGAGAGAGAGAGAGGGCGCGTGCATGCGAGCCTGGGAAATGCACGGGGGGAGGGAGAAGGAGAGATCTCAAGCAGACTCCACACTGGAGCACAGAGCCCAACTCAGAGCTGATAGCAAGATCCTGAGATCATGACCTGAGCCAAAACCAAGAGTTGGATGCTTAACTGACAGAGCCACGCAGGCACCCCCAAAACTGATTTTAATAGACACAAACTATTAGCAATGTGCAAGAACTTGGAATTGTTCCCATGAACCTTTCCTGAGGAAGCTACTACAGAAAGAGCTTCATAACAATGAAAGTAAAGACCAGCGGTTTAAAAACAAAATCATTTTTTAAAATAATTTTATCTTCCTGAGTTGTAGCATTTAGCAGAAGATTGCATTGTGAACATTTTACTTCCATGGAATTTTAAATTAGGTGTATTGCTTTTTTTATTAGTTGCTTTCAATTGCTAATTCCTGTTACACGAACTACGTTGAGTTCCTGTAGTTCTCTACTACATCTACTCTACTGTCCCCTCAACACTCACACTCCTTACTGTTTCCCCATTTGCCTCCAAAGCCCTTATTATTCTCTTCACCTAGTTAAATCCTGTTTATTTCTCAGGTATCTCCTCCAGGAAACTTCTCTGACCTTTCTGCTAGGCTGAACTAATGCCACATCTCTGTGTACTGTACACCTTGTTACGTGCACTTGTCCCATCCGTATTCTTATCTGTTTGTGTGTCTGCCTCTCCATTAGATCAACAACTCATTGAGGGAAGAGATCGTAATAATCTTCATAGTTCCACACTTTGTGCAGTTTCTAGCACATAGGAGACACTCACTGACTATTTGCTGAAGTAAACTGTCCTTGAGAGTCTTTATCCTAATTTAAAATGTACCAAGAATAAAATCTCTGTCCGCTCCTAAGTGCCAGGAACTAAACACAAATTATTATGTGTTATAGAAAATTCACATTAAAATGTACACTGATTTCTGTTCTGAGTTTTTATGTTAGAACATTACTCAGTCCTAACAATGAATTGATAATTAAGCATGGACTATTTTGAAATAAATTAATCATAACTAGTGTCTGTTGAGTACATATACCAGGCACTGACACATGATGTGTCTTATCTCATTTTATCTTTCCCAGCAGCCCCATGAAGCACAGGTACTGTTATTTTCCACACTTATAAATAAGGAAACAGGGTGAGAAAGGTTATTTGTATTTGGAGCCAAGATTCAAACCTAGATCTATCTCAATAGAGCTTCTGTTCTTAATTACCACACTATATTGCCTTGGGGAGAAATGGAAGCAATATTTATTCTTGTAATACCTGGTGACCCGTGTAGTATCTCTCAACTAACTATTGCAATACAATTTTTTTTCTTTTAAGACTATGTTAAGCCCAGGAAATTTTAGTCTTAGAAATTGATTATAAAGGAAAATTGAATGTTACCTGCAAATAATGTTTTTTTGTTTTCTAAAAAGAAAATTATCAAAAGCCACTTTGACACTGTGACCTTTTGTTTCAGGATCTTCAGAAATGATTTTTGGTTTTGTTTTTGGTTTTTTTAAAGATTTTATTTATTTATTTGAGAGAGAGAGTGCACAAGCAGTTGGAGGGGCAGAGGGAAAGGGAGAAGCTCACCTCGCTGAGGAGGGAGCCCCATGTGGGACTTGATCCCAGGACCCTAAGATCATGACCTGAGCTAAACAAAGGCAGATGCTTAACCGACTGAGCCACCCAGGCACCCCCAGAAATGGGGGGGGGGTTAAGATTTATTTGACAGGGAGACACTGTGAGAGAGGGAACACAAGCAGGGGGAGTGGGAGAGGGAGAAGCAGGCTTCCCGCTGAGCAGGGAGCCCAATGCGGGGCTCGATCCCAGGACTCTGGGATCATGACCCGAGCGGAAGGCAGACGCTTAATGACTGAGCCATCCAGGTGCCACCAGAAATGTTTTAAGTACTAGAAATATTTTAGTAAAAATAGACTAAACTGAAGCATTGGACAGTGAATCCTTTAAAGAATAAGGCTTTGTTACCTTTTTACTTCATTTATATTACTTTTTTTTTTTTTTAACCTCACATGGCTGAAAGTGACTTAGTAGTGGTACTCTGCCTGAAGTTCAGTACCTTTGAGAGTTTTCAAAGGTGATAAAAGTAGGGGCGCCCGGGTAGCTCAGTCGTTAAGCGTCTGCCTTCAGCTCGGGTCATGGTCCCAGGGTCCTGGGATCAAGCCCCGCATTGGGCTCCCTGCTCCACGGAAAGCCTGCTTCTCCCTCTCCCACTCCCACTGCTTGTGTTCCCTCTCTCACTGTGTCTCTCTGTCAAATAAATAAAAGTCTCTAAAAAAAACCAAAGGTGATAAAGGTAAAAAATATATATATATATATCCAACCATGCATGTCATTTACCCCCCCCCCAAAAAAATGCACAAGTAGCTCAAATATTAAATTTCTTGATTTTGGACTCTGTGTAGAATTTCATTAGGAGAAATTCTGTCTTTAATTATGAGTAAGTGGAAACAATATTTCCAATAATTACCTTCTTGAATAAACCTCCAAATGCTACTTGTAAAGACAATATTTAAAAGTTTCTTAGTTATAAAAAGTTGGGAACCACTGTTCTAGGACCAGAAATTCTGTTACTTTTACTAGAGGACAGATATGATTGATCTTTGAGAGATCTCATTAGTTGAGTAAGTTATTAGAATTAGGAGTCTGGGGAAGCTTTTTTTCAATTCTGAAGACAAATTGAAATAGCTGACAACCCAGAAGAGTGCAGTTTAATCAGGATACCATTAAAAATGAATCATGTTTTTTTTTCTTGCAGTTTATTTATGTGAATCAGTCCTTTGCCCCCTCCCCAGACCAGGAAGTTGGAACCCTCTATGAGGTAATACATCAGTACTTCGTTTTCTAATGGAGTATGCACATCTGTGCATATTATGTCATAAACTCAACATTTTAAGAGATGATATGCCATTCTTAGCTGTCATGAAAGAAGAGATTACTTTGTTATATCTAACAGAACATAGTTGGATCTCAAATTACAGTGATGGAAGAATTAAGAAATGAATAATACCAACAGAAGATGACTTTGAAGTACAGTAATCTAGTTCTGCCTCCCAAGATGTTGAAAAGGAAGGGCTACATAATAAGAATGACTTTATTCGACATTCTTACAGTATAATGGCCATAATCATTCGAGTGTGCACACTAGCACCACTACTAGAAAACAGTACATACCTTATCATCAGAGATGTAGGAAAGGGACAAGATAATATGCAAGCCCACCCATTCCTAAAATGCTAGTTTTTTGTTGTTTTAAAGATTTTATTTATTTATTTGACAGAGACAAAGCGAGAGAAGGAACACAAGCAGGGGGAGTGGGAGAGGGAGAAGCAGGCTTCCCGCAGAGCAGGGAGCCCGACGCGGGGCTTGATCCCAGGACCCTGTGATCATGAACTGAGCCCAAGGCAGACGCTTAATGACTGAGCCACCCAGGTGCCCCCAAAATGCTATGTTTTATTAAAATTTATGATTATCGATATGAGTCCAAGAGTAACCTGGATCTGTTGAAAGAGTCTTGTAGATACTTACATGGATGAGGATATTTATGATATACATAACATTTTTTTCCTTAGTTTCATCTAGGGATAATAGAAATTATATGGAGTTTAATTTATTGCCTTTTCTTTTCCTTTTTGTAGTGCTTTGGCAGTGATGGTAAACTGGTCCTACATTACTGCAAATCTCAGGCATGGGGATGAAGTACAGAGAAAAAGCTCTTGCTAACCAGATGAATCTTCACAAAGCAAACAGCTCTGGAAAAAGTTGATACTTGTGACAAGAGACTTGTGTATGTGATCTACACAGCATGTATCTACTATGAATCATGTTTATGCATAAAGAAATCCATAGAGTAGATGGACTCACAAAAATGTGATTTGTATTAATACACAAATCATCATAAAAGATTGGCTTTACAGTCTACCCATTACTACAACTATTGTTCCAGATCAGCCAGCCACCAAGGAGTTGAAAAAGGAGCCTAAGACTGTAGAAAACTTCTTTGTTACCAGTTCTCAGTGAATGAAATTGTTTACTTGTAGAGAGAACACTCTGCTGCTTTTTTTCCCCACTGTGAAAGTCAGTTTTCTAAAGGATTCTTTTTGTGTGTATTCAGGGAAGTTCAGTCTGTGTGAGGTAATGCGGTGTGCAGTTAGATCTACAGTGTTCGGGAACTTCGTCCCATTGATCTGCTGGCTTTATGTCCTACACAGTCCAGTAGAGGGCAGCCTGGCTGGCAGAAGGAGTTAAGCAGTTTGGTTTTACACCTTTGCCAGATGATAATAGAGGAAAATAGAGATTCCTGCTCATTCCTAGCAAACGTCTAGCCAAGAGAGCATGCATGTTGACACACTGGAAACCTGCTTTAGAGAATATGTGTGGTTTAGAATTATTTTATTGAGAAACAGAAGGAATTTTACAACTTCTGGACAATTGAGTCAAACTTTTCAGTCCCATCATTTAAATGATTGTGAGCCCTAATGGTTGTAACTGTGGTGTTATTTTGTGTCTTATTTTTACAGGGTCAGAAGCACTCGGTAAACCTGGCGACATCTTTTGAGTTTTTTATAATCTGTTTTCCAACTTAAATACTCGACTAATTGGATAGCCTTAGAGTCTATATGTATTTCATGCTGTGACTGAAAGTTCCATTTTCCCTGATGCTATTTGGTAATTCCTTGAAGTGAGATTCGGTATTAAATTATTCTGTATCATAGTGGTAATGTAGCATTTCAAAAAGCATTCCAATAAATTGAATGGAATGTCCAAACAGGAGCTAAGATGCATACAAGAATTCTGAGTGTTTATTTCCAGGGTAACGGGATGTGTGATTCTGTCAGAAGACTTTGAACTACACTCTTGTGCCTTTAATCCCACAACGTGCTTCATGGTTACTGATCTGCCCTGTATTAGCCTTAGGGTATGCTGAGGAGCAGTTCAGTTTACAGCGATGAAATCACTGTTCAGTTCTCGTTCTTCTGCCCAAGAATGAATTTTTATGAATTTTATTTTTTTTAATTTAAATTCAATTAGTTAACATACAGTGTATCCATAATGACTTCTTAAGTTCCCTTATGCCGATGACCCTGTGTAATAAATCAGTATAGCTAGTAGTTAGCACTGGAATAGTACAGGTCGAATTCTGCAGATTAATCTTGTAAAACTAGGTAAGAAATTTGTATATAGGTGGAGAGCTGGGAAGTATATTTTGAGTCAAATAAGTTGGATATAGAAAAGATCTGTTCGGGTGCCTGGGTGGCTCACATGGTTAAGCGTCTGCCTTCGGCTCAGGTCATGGTCCCAGGGTCCTGGGATCGAGCCCCGCGACGGGCTCCCTGCTCCTTGGGAGGCTGCTTCTCCCTCTGCCTCTCTCTCTGTCCCTCATGAATAAATAAATAAAATCTTAAAAAAAAAAAAGAAAAGATCTGTTCTCCAGCTTTGTCCACTTACAGTGTATTGAAGGGTGTGAATATATTTATTTATTTATATGCATATATATTTAACATGTAGCAAAAATGTGTTTAAATTAAATTTGCCACTAAGGGTTCAGGGGATAGGCTACTACCTCAGCAGTCAGAACTGCTTGAGTTTGAATTTATTTATTAGAGCAAAAGAGAGCATGAGCAGAGGCAGAGGGAGAAGCAGGCTCCCCACTGATCAAGGAGCCCGATGCGGGGCTCGATCCCACGACCCTGGGATCATGACCTGAGCCGAAGGGAGACGTTTAAGCAACTGAGCCAGGTGCCCCCACACCTTACCTGTTTTCATCTCTAATAACCTTGAAGAATATATAGGACTTCACTACATTTTTTTCAAATCTTACTTACACGATGATCTCTTAAATCCTTACCCAAAGGATTTAATCATTCCGTGCTGACTTTGCAACATTTACTTTAAGCCTGGATCTCACAAGTTATTGAGTGACTAGAAACTAAAATATGGTTCACAAATATTTTTGCAGTTATCTGGTTTAAACTGTCTTAACTGTAATTGAACCCGGGGGTTGGGGGGCAATGAATCCTTCTAGTTATATTTTAAGTTTCCCATGTTTTTTGTTTTTTTTAAAGATTTTATTTATTTGAGAGAGAGAGCATGAGGGGGGGAGGGCCAGAGGGAGAAGCAGACTCCTTGCTGAGCAGGAAGCCTGATGCGGGACCCGATCCTGGGACTCCAGGATCATGACCTGAGCCGAAGGCAATCGCTTAACCGACCGAGCCACCCAGGCGCCCTAAGTTTCCCGTGTTTGTGAGAAAATCAATGTCTGCAATGTCATGCTTGGTCCTACTGTGCAATGGTGACCCAGAGCCCATGGAACATCTATAATAATGGGGAACTGTGCTTCCGCTTTTGACGGTATCCGTGCCAAGGATTTCATCAAGAATTACCCATATTTAGGGTCTAAGTAAGCTGAGAATGTTTATCAGTGATCCAATGTGGCATCTATGATTTCCTAGATGTTTTAACCCTCAAGGGACCTTAAATACCTACTCAGTTTAGAGAACTGAAAAGTGCAGACTATGCCTTAGATTATAGGGCCTTAGTCAACCTGATTCATCTGTGTGGAACCGAAAGTGGGCTGGTCTGCGGTGTGCAAGGGGTATGAAAATGAAAATCGCCCTTCCTGCAGCTTCTGTTTCATTGCCCAAGGATTATACTATCCTGGGTAATTACCGCTTCTGGCACTGGGGGAGTCAGCTACAGACCACATAATGGATTGGAAAGTATTCAAAACAACTCAGCAGGTGTAGTCTTTCTCTTTCTCTTCAATATTAGCCAACCCACGCTGGACTATCCACTGTTCCCTGAATGCGCCTTGTGCTTTGTGTCTTACATCTGCTCGTGCAGTTCACTTGCGTAGAACTTCCCCCGCTTCAAATCTTACCTCTGTGCCTAATTCTGATTTTAACTTTTCCTTAAAGCCTGTCTAAATCATTCAGGGTACTCTCTCCCTCATAAGAGCACTCACAGCGAACTTCCACTATTACAGCCCTACTGGCTACTGTATTATAAATGCGCATATGACAACCTTTTGTGATTGTAATGTGCCTGAAAATAAGATGCTTTTTGGTTTTTATTTGGTACCCACACATAATATTTAGTACATTTTCTTATATATAATCAGTAATTCATTATATATTGAATGAACTTTTTAAATGTGACTTGTAAGATATTTAATGTGGCAAAGCAACATAAATCTTAAATTTTTATATGGTGGAAGATGAAGATATTTACAACATATGTATGGCTTTAATACCCGGTGTATATGAAGAACTCATTTCAGTTGGAGAAAAAAAAACCTGAAAAATGAGCAAAAATACTAAAACACAATTCATGAAAGAAAAAAGGTGGGTGGGGGGATGGGTGAAGTAGTGACGGTGATTGAAGGAAAGCACTTGTGATGAGCACCAGGGGATGTATAGAATTGTTGAATCACTGTTTTGTACACCTGAAACTAACATACCACTGTTAACTATACTGGAATTCAAATTCTAAAAAAATTTATAATAACATGCCTAATAAAGCACAAAAAGTGCAGACCCCCATTACTTACCCAAATAAATATGAGATGCTATTTGTCACCTACCACAGTAGCAGTCGTAGAAAGCACGGTGACTGTCAATATTGGCAAATTTGTGGGGAAATAAGTACTGTCATATTCTTGGTGCATGAAATATGAATGGACAGTACATCTTCAAGGGGCAGTTAGGCCAAACCTATCGAAAACCTTGAAACAATTTTATTTGTACCTTCCATTTGTTGACTCACATACTAAGTGCCTATTATGCCCTCCCTCAGCTTTGATATAAGACAAGATCCCTATTCTCTGCACTTTTGCTCTAATTAGGCAGGTTTTTAGATTTAAACTGCAATCTTGAATGTTTTTAACTTGAATTTTTAGAAATAATGGAAAGTAAAAAGATTTGGTACCAGATACTAGATGTACCTCTGTTTTCTTACCTAAAGTTAGTGAAAAACAGAACATGTATGTTCGAGCAAGTTATGAGAGTCCTTATAGATCGCAGTTCCTTCTCTGTCCTTACGGCGGATACACATGAAGCATGTGGCCATCGCCCTAAAGAAGGCCCTATCGTTCTGAGATGGCTCTACTCCTTACACAGCTGTCTTCCTGTCTTCCTCCTGCCTCTTCCAACTATTTACTGTTTGTTCTACTACCTAGATCTTTAAAGCTTATCTTTTTCCTCATCCCCACCCCCAGTCACGCTAAATCTTCTCTCAGTCAATGGCAAATCTGTTCCTTCCAGTCGTTGGGATTCTTTAAAAAGAAAAAAAAAATTTTTTTATTTGAGACAGTGAGCGAGCGAGAGAACATGAGGGGTGGGGGGGGGCAAAGGGAGAGAGAGAAGCAGACCCCCCATGAGCTGGGAGCCAGACGCGGGGCTGGAGGCTCTATTCTGGGACTCCAGGATCATGACCTGAGCCCCACCCCCACCCCCCAGGCGCCCCATCGTGACTCATTCTGGATCCCTCTCTAACAGCCCACTTCCAAATCTGCAAATCCTGACACCTTTACCTTCAAAACTTGTTACAGAAGCGACCATTTCTCCTCTCTTCTGCCCCTACTCTGGCCAAAGCCACTGTTATCTCACTCAGATTGCTGTTTAATAGCCAACTAATTGGCTTCCCTTGATCTGCTTGCTCCCTGGCCAGAATCCCTCAATGGCTTCCACTGTTCTGTGAGGGCCTATTTGATTTGTAGTCCCTACTTCCACGCCCCGCAGCCCACATCCACGTTCATCAAGCACTTAGTATTTCCTACAAGGGCTTTTGCATTTAACTGTTTACTTGTAAACCTTCCCCCCCCACCCCCGCCACCCAGACAGCTACAAGTCTCACTAACTTCTTTCAGTCCCTGCTGAAATACCACTTCATCAGGGAAGTGTTCCCCTGAACTCCCCTAAAATGACAATTCCTCACCACCCTCTCTATCCAGCTTCTCCTGCTGTATTTGTCTCCATTATCTATTTGTGTACATTATGTGTCCATTTCTCCCTGCATGCTATAATATTTGTTGGGTGTCTACCTTCCTCACGCCCACCCCCACACCTCCTAAGAGGATAAGCCCTGTAAGGGCAGAGACTTCATTTTGTGAAGAGTTCTTGGCATATAGCACATGCTTTTTTTAAAAATGTGTTGAATGGATGGATAGACCATTACTTCCAAACCTTTAGTAACTCTTGTTCCCTGCTGTGGATATCGACCCTATCTCAGTGTCTGAAAATGTGATAATCATTCCCTGGGCAATGCCAAGTACTGTGGAAATACGACTTCCCTGATCTAGGTATTCTACTTACGTTAATAGAGCCTGCAATGTCAATTATTTTCCTCTTCTTCTAATTTCTTCTTCCTCTTCCTCTTCCTCCCCCTCCCCTTCTCCTCCTCCTCCTCAGCCGTGTAACTGTTCTGGGAAGAATTCAGGTGTCCTTTGCACAGAAACAAAAAGCATTTGAGAGAAGTCTGCTGGATTTGAACTCACTACCCCAGGATCCCTGAAGAAAACCTAGCTAGCAGTCGAATTACTCTAGCCAATCACCTCTGTTTTTCCTAACTTTGTCATTCATGCATACACAAGGCACAGTGTGTGGGGCACTGAGGGGGATATAAAAATAAAATGTAAGCAGAGCCTGTCCTAAATGTTGTGTGTGTCACGTTACGATTCACATAAGCAACAGCATTACATGCTCTGACGTAGTAAGTGCCCTATGAAGGATACTGATTATCGCCCCTTTTCCGGGCGAGATAAGCTACCTCACTTGAGAGAAAAGTATTTGAGCTAAGACTTAAGGTAAGATTTGGATATATGGAAATGGCCTTCTAGAGTCTAGTCACAAGGAAAAGCTTAAGCAAAAGAATGGATTGGGTAAACACAAGAGATGGTCACTAATTCCATTTCACTGGAAGATAATATTTGTTAAAAAAAAAAAAAAAAAAAGAATGGCAAAAGGTGGAAAACTTTGAATGCCAGACTGACAAACCTTGTGTATTAGAAATAAGAGTTACTGAGAATACCTGACTAGGAAATGACATCATTAGTTGTTGCCTTAGGATAATGAATCTAGTGGCTGTGAATAAAGGATTCACCCCAAGGTGGCGGCGGTGGGGGGGGGGGGTTGTTGCTGGAACCAAGGAATCCAGTTTAGGAGGTCTACAATAATCTATCCAAAATAGACGCTTGAGCATGTGTAGTAGCAATAGGAATAGAAAAGCAGGAAATCATGAAGGATACAGAGGAACAAAAATTGGCATTTGGTAGAAGGGTTTGAGAATGAAGCAAGGAAAGGGGTAGACCATGGTGGATGTGGTTTTTGAGCCTAGGTAGCCTAGCTGCAGAAATAGAAACTCCAGGAGTTGAAAAGCACACTTGAAAGGAGTTTCAAATATGTTGCGTTTTAGGTGCCAAACCAAGTTAAATAGAACTTGCTCTCCGTGTATAAAATTAGGGAGAAGTGGGAGGCATCCATATAGAAATGACCAATGAAACTGTGTTTGTGAGAAGATGTAGAGAAGAGAGGCAATGAATATGAATGTGTGAATACGGCTATATTAGGATTCTTGAAGCCTTTCAAGGTCAGGAAGAGCCAGTGAAAGTAGATTAGGATAGCTAAAATGAAGTAATTCAGGGACTCAATGGAAAACATAAGAATAAAAAAATTTTTCGAGTAAACACTAAAAAGTGTACAAAGTACTCTTGTCCCAGAATACTTCAGTTAACCACCTCTCAGCAACCTATATCACAAAAGTTTGGCTTCTGAGGCGCTTTCTACCTCTTTTTGAACAATGGTGATTGAACTGTCATTTTTACTCCCTAACATTATTAGAATATTTACAGTGTAATCAGTTTAAAACAGGGATGTTTAAAATAATACTTTAGGTGGCACAAGTAAACGTAAGTATGTAGACACACATACATTGAAGCAAAATGGGGGTGGGGGAGTGGGGAAGGGCCGGTCTTTGAGAAATTTAGGCCTTCAATAACCTTGAATCCGAATTATTCCCTGGGTCCGTTTATAATGAGACAGAATGAATCTATACTTGCATTTCTTCTGTCCCTCACACTTACTTTCATTCATACTCACTTCGTGTCCTTCACAAAGCGTGCTGAGTACCCTGCACAGCATAGAAACATGTTTCCCTAACCAGTAGGCTCTTTCAAGTGCACGCCTCGATTTGATTTTAATAGCCTCCTTAGAACCCTTTAACTTACTGCTTTAGGAGCCATTAATGATACATCCGGTCTCTGCACCGAATACATTATCTTAAAGGAAATGTTTGATTTTAAACCCGAAGAGGGGGTCCCTGGCCTCCCATCGTCTCCCTCGTCTTGCTCGAGACGGGAGTGTCCTTTGTGAAAATTGTATTTTCAGTACAGTACATTTAGATGTTTTTTTCAAGAAAGACTTCCACTTTTTTTTCCTCCACCTAGCCTGGAGCATGTTCTGGATACTTTCAGTCGACGACACAGGAGGTCTCCAGCTAGGGAGTGGACGCCCTCGTCAACCTTCGCAAGCAATTCCCAGTTCCCACTTCTATTCGGAAGGGAGGGCCCCTCCCCCCCTCGGCGCTCCCCCACCCCCAGCCCAGCCTTCTCCCGACCCCCTGCGGTCTGCGTCCCTGCATCGCGGACCCGCGCGGCGGAGAGGAGCCTCCCAGGGCCCAGCGACGGGGGGGGTGGAGGGGGGCGAGGAGCCGAGCGGCCGGGATGGGCGGACACAAGGCGCAGCGCCGAGGTGGGCGGGGGACGGCGCGAAGCCCACCGAGGAGGCGGGGACGCGGAGCCGGGGTCCCCGGGAGCGTCGCCGTGCCTGGCGAGGGGGGGGAGGAGGAGGAGACCCGGGGCGGCGTGCGTGGACCTTGTCCGCACGTTCCCGCCGCCTCCGCCACGGTCCCCGGGTCGCTCCCCGCCTCTCCCCACCCTCCGAGGGCCGTTGGTACAGTCCCGCCGACTCCGAGAGGTTAAAAAGGGCCGGGGCCGCGGCACCCAGCCGACTTGGTCCTGATTTGTGCGCGCGGCGAGTTTTCCCGCGAGCCCGGATCCGCCACGCTGCTGGGGGACCGGAGAGGGGGTGCCTCTTGATATCTTGGTGGGGGGCTCTTTAGCTGGCGGTTGAGCGTCTGGGGGTTGTGTGTGTGTGTGTGTGTGCGCGCGCGCGCGCAGCTGTGCAGCCAGCAGCTGAGGTCCCTCGCCCCCAGCTCCCCTGCGCTCAGCGCCAGCACTGCAGCCCAGCAGAGAGCCGCGCGCGCCGCCAGCTCCGCGAGGGATGGAGCAGACCGAGGTGCTCAAGCCGCGGACCCTGGAGGATCTGATCCGCGTCCTGCACCAGCTCTTCGCCGGCGAGGAGGTCAACGTGGAGGAGGTGCAGGCGGTCCTGGAAGCCTACGAGAGCGACCCCGCCGAGTGGGCGGCGTACGCCAAGTTCGACCAGTACCGGTGAGCGCGCCCTAGCCCTGGCCCCGAGAGCTCGGGCGCAGGTTTCCGACGCCCCGCGGCGCCCACCCTCCTCGCCAGCTTTTTCCCGCACCCCCGCGCTGCGCCTTCTCGCCCTCGAGCCGCGGGGCTGGCGCTCGGCGCTTTGGCCCAAAGGCGGAGCATCCGGGCCTGGCCGGAGACTGCGGAAGGCTCCGGGCGCGGAGGCCACCGCACCGCTGCGAAGTGTTTTGTCCTCTTCTCTCCGGTCCACCCGGACGCTTCCAAACCTCCGCTTCTCTCGGCCTCGGGAGCTGTGCTCTTCCCTCCGGCTTGCTCGCTCGCCTCGGGCGCGGCGGTGCGGGGAGACCACCCCCTCCCCGCAGTGGCCCCACGCGCTTGGGCTCTCCTCGGCCCGCCGCCCCTGGGGGACGGAGCGTGCTTCCCGGAGAGAACTCCATCAGCCATCCCAAGAAAGGGGCGGCGGTGGAGGACACAGTCCCCCGAGCCAGTTCTCCATCAGTCGGTCGCCCGCGGCCGGGCGCCTGCCAACAGGCATTTTGCCCCGATAAAATAGCTGCTTTCAGCTCATGCTGCCCCTCCCAGGCCCATTTAACTTGCCGGACTGCGGGGGTTATTTCCACCCACTCTCAGGGTTGTGAATTCAAGGACTGCTTCCCTTTCAGCCCCCAGGCAGTATGCTTTCTCGAATCCTTAGTTCTGAGGCTCTGGAATGTAAATGGGAGACCGCTGCTTGCCAGATGTGCTGGAGTGAGATGGTCCTTTGAAGCTCTGGCTTCGTGATACAAGTAAAAGTGAATCTCTCTACCGGTCCTCTAGCGCCAGAAGTAAAACCTGATCCCCTCTGAAGGGTGAGGGTTTTCTATTCTGAAAGGCAGCTAGCGATTCAGTCTTTATGGCTAGTTGGGCTGAGGGTAGGCAGAGGAAAATACTTGAAAGATAAGAATAAGCAGAGATTGTTTTCCTTGGGAGCAGTTCCTTTTAGTCACCCTACCTAAACATAGTAAGTGTGTTTGTCGGCAAGGGCTGTTTCCTCTGTATTTTAGGAGTTGAAATACAAAAGCGAAGCCTGCTTAAGATCCCATTTTCCACTTATACATGGCTCCAGGAAATTCCTTTGGTTCCTATCCTTCTGTGGCTACCAGTAAAGCTAGCAGAGTCCACTTTTTCATTTTGCCACTAGCTCCAAGTGAGGGCTTATTCTGGGCCAGGTACCTTTCCGGGCACTTTAATACACCATATTAACTCATTTATCTCATGACAGCTCTGTGAGGATAGGTACAATTCTTATCCCTGTTTCACAGACGAGGAATGGTAGGCAATAAAAAGGTTGGATTACCTGCACTGGGTCAGACTTATATCAGGTAGCAGCTCTGAGAGTCAAATCAGCATCATTATTCGGAGTCCTCACTCGAAACAACCACTAACCTTCCAGCTGACACGTGGCGCCATGAGTTTGCCCTCAGCCTAGATAGATCATTGACCAAGTGAAATTCACCAACCACGGTAGGCTGGCAGGGCTCTGAATCTTTAGAACAATGGCATTTCCAGGGGCTTTCAGTTCCTCTTGACTGACAAGCTCTGAATCACTTGAAATGCAAGCATTTGTGTTGATCTGTTGTACCGGTATCCGGAGGTGCAACTAAGATAATGATGCAGTCCTGGGTGGGCAGCTGGGGCAGTGTGGAGAGAGAGATGTAGGACAGTGCAGATCATTTTGATAGTATTTTTTTGCATGGCATAGGTGTCCCAGCACTGCGAAGGATTCTGATCTCTGACCTTGGGAAAGCCAGTGCAGACAAACCAAGACAGAATGTTCTAGTGTGAGCCAGATGGTAAAGTGTCCGGAAATAGCCCCAGAGAGGCAAGGGAGATGACCCCAAGACTTGTAGAGGGAGAAAAAGAGTATCCTGACACCAAAAGTGGAGTTTATTGGGAATTAAAGGCTGTGTGCACAGCCCCTTGCGAGGTCATCAAGGGCTACCGAGTAAAGATGACTGACATCTAAAAAGCACTTACTAATCAACTTTCTCTCCCTGATCCCGCTCTGCCAGCACCTGGCCTCCTGCCTGGGGAGGAAAAGGGAGGAAGGGGCATTCAGGACATAAATGAACAGATGACCGTGTGATCAAACACTCCCCCAAATATGGGAGAAAGATTCCTTTTCTTAAAATATCTAAGTGAATGTCACGATTTATATCAAACTTTGCTAATTAGATGGTGTGGATGTTACCTTTTCGACCAAGAGAAACTTTAAAAGTGGGTTTTGGTTTTTGTTTTACTGATGGTGTGCTTGTGGTCGTTTCGATTTGGGATTTTTTTGTGGCCAGTCACTGGTTTCTCCTGGAAAAGGTTTAGAGTGTTATTTACTTCCCTATGGAGTGTCCTTTGTTGTATGCTTAAGTCAATCCCCACCCTATTTGTGGAGGAATTTTCATTATGAGTGCTTCTGAATGTGGTTTGTGTCTGGGTTTTAGCAAATACTAAGAATTCTAGAAACAGCTATTTAATGAAACCTTGTTTCTTACGTTCTGGTTTAGCTACAGGGAGGAAGAAAAAAAAAACAATAGCAACATTCTTGCCTAGAGCAGTAATGTACTTTGTAAATACCTCTGTAAGAAACTTATTCTTTTTATCAGTTTGAGGCTGTCACGAGGAGAATCAAGGAATTTGCTTTTTTCCCCCCGTTACCTTTTTTCTGCCATTAATTAAAACAGAGCAGTTATAAATGTGGTGATACAAAATACGAAAATGTCCAAAATGAACTGTGAAAAAATGCCTTGTTTTCACTTGTGCTGGATTTTTCTAATTAGAAAACCACATTTAAAGTTGTTTAGAGGTAGAAATGTTCACTTTTGTAAGTGAGCCATACTTTGTGACATACTTCTTTTTCCCAAAGCATATTTCATCAACCAGATTCAAACTTCTGAATACCTTCCTTTCAGGTATACTAGAAATCTTGTGGATGAAGGAAATGGAAAATTCAATCTAATGATTCTGTGTTGGGGTGAAGGACATGGCAGGTAATACAGTTAATTCATTTGCAGATGCTTAGTCGATGATCTAGTCCAGCCTAAGAAAAGGACAGTACCAGAATGGCCACAGGTCTTGGGAGCATTAACAAATTTCATGTTACAGTTATTTGTTCAAAATGTCCCAACAGAAATTCTCATGGGAATTAACATCAGGGGTTTAGGCATACACCATGTATATCAAAACCAGCCCCCCAAATGAATAGTAAATCAAAGGAGGTAGTAACCAGTTTAACTTAATCTGTCTTTCTCTCTCTGTCTTCTGTGGAGTTAAATGTATATGGAATTTTGCTAAAACTTGACCTTTGTGGTGCTTTGAAGTCTGTAAACAATTGCAGGACCAAAGACCAAAGGGTCCACATTTGGACCCAGAAGAGCAATTCACAAATTCAGAAAATTTCTTGCTACTTCAAGTTAATTGTTTACTGTCTTTGCCTTTTTTAATATATTTTTTTAGTTTTTTATGTAGAGGGCAAGGCGCTTAAACTAATACCAATTCTTTGAAACTTGGTTCCTTAATTTGTCCCTAGTTTATACACTTGTGAGTATTATTATCTCTGTAAACAGATCCTTCTCGGGCTTTTGAGAATGGTAAAAATAATACTTGCAGACCCGTTTTTGATGGGAGAGAGGAGACCTGAATTTATGAGATTTGGGGGGAGTTAGGTCTGTAGAGGATTTCACTCATACAGAATGGCATTGTTTTCATTCATTCTCTTCAATATTTTTTGAAATCAGATTATGTCAAGAGTAGGACTAGGCTCTGTGGGTTTAGGAAATGAGTTCTTATGGTTTTATGCATTCAACATAGAAGATAAATGCTAATAACGTACAGGTTCATACGTTTTATTAGCCTAAGTTTACATGAATAAATATTTTCTGCAAACCCAATATACTTTCGTTCTCCCTCCATTGTTGGCAGTTAATCACAGGTGGGGTACTCTAAATCTACAAAATAGTAACATGATGGCAGTAAAATGTGTGGGTGTTAACACACATACACATACCTTTTGTCCCCCAAAGCCAGGAGAAAAGAGAAAAGGCCTGGGGGCAAAAAAACCCACTATAAAGTGATCTTACAAGTGTGATGCAGTTATGAGAGATGATTATCTTTATCCTTTCTCAACTTTCTCTGAGGTTTTATAATCGAGTTGTAGCCCAGCTTAATTGAGTTCTTAAAAGCTATGACTTGCAGAAGATAAAAGGTTGCTGGTTTTGTATTTCTGTTATCAAAGTAGTATTCCAACCCGATTTTTAAAAACGCACTGTTCTATACTTCGGTTATGCGTCAGCATTGCACCCTTATATGCACTGATACGGAAGACATAGTATGTTGTATGTTGCCCTGAATGCTGTTAATTACCAGTCGATGACAATTACAAAGCCAGCTGAAATGGTTTGTGACCTGTCCTCTTGACAGTATGCAGCAGTAGTAAGCTCGGGGCAGAGTGTTATGCGGCTCTGGGTGCTGCTGGACCATCCACTGAGTTTCGTTGTCTTTTTGTGTCTATATATAGCAGTATCCATGATCACACCGACTCCCACTGCTTTCTGAAGATGCTGCAGGGAAATCTAAAGGAGACCTTATTTGCCTGGCCTGACAAAAAATCCAACGAGATGATCAAGAAGTCTGAAAGAATCTTGAGAGAAAACCAGTGTGCTTATATCAACGGTAACTAACATCGAATACCTTTTTCTAAGGGCAAGTGGGAAAAGCCTTGAACTCCCTTCTGAAATACTGCTTACTTGCCCACGTCCAGCAGAATTTGGTTCATGGAGTCATGGTTTCAGATACTTGGAAAATGATCTAAAAGCAGTAGGTTTTGTTTTTTTTTTTAGCTTTGCATCTGAGTTAGAATCACTTTATTCAAAATACGTGCACGTAGATGCACTGAAAAGTCATTTCCTGCCAAGTCTGAGGACAGTTAGCATCGAATATGAATTTACAAAAGTAGATTCTTTTATTTTTATTTTTGTTAACGATTTTATTTTTGAGTAATCTCTACACCCAACATGGGGCTCAAACCCACAACCCTGAGGTCAAGAGTCGCACACTGTGTGGACTGAGCCAGCCAGGCACCCCAAAAGTAGATTCTCTTAATAAGGGAGTGAGGCCAGGCTGGAAATATTAGTCTTTGTGTTAGAAAATGTAAGGAAACGTTCTGGAAATGATTAAGAATGCTGGCTAGTCCCTGTTTTTATAAAATACATAAAGCATACTTCAAAGAGTGTTCACAAGGGAATCTTTATAGAGCACATTATTTACCAATGATTTATAGATCTCTACCAAGAATTCATTCTTTGTCCTAAATGTGATCTGGAAGAGCCAGATGCTTTTCAGAAGAGGCTGTGATTAACATCTGTATTTCTAAAGGATATAGTAACTTTCCAAAAAGCCTGTTACAGGTGGTGGGAGATCATTTTTGATTCCCATTTATAGACGAGATTGCCAACATATAGGAACAATAAATAACTCGTCTGAGGTCACTCAGCTTTTAAGTGCCTGTCAGGATTTGAACTCAAGCCATTTGATTCCAAAGCCCGTACTCTTAATTGGGATGCCATCCCATTGATGTAAAATAAAATTTTACAGAGATTTTTTTCTGGCCATGCAACTTTTTTCTTATATCTTAAAGTCCCATATTAGTTTTGACACTTGGCCTGAATTTGTTCATTAGTTTAAGAATCTAAGCCGCTTACAAAGGTCAGATAGTATGGGAAATTTTCTCCCCCATTCACAAAACACAAAGACATCCATTTCTTATGTGGTGGGAAGCTTTTATTTGAGGGTTGCTGTATATATAAGGCACACCAAATTTCCTAGAACAATTTTGTTGCCTGTATTACTCCCAGTGAAGCCAAAAAGCCTGTCAGAATAATTGCTTTCAGCTAGAGTCCCAGAGTCTTTGTGAAACTAGATTAGGTCTTAAAGAGGAGGTAAGCTTTTTTTCAAGGGTCTTCAGTGCAAAACCTATCGGAGCCAAGCAGGTAAGTGAGTCGTACAGGCCAAGAATAAGGCTGTGGGTCCTGGTGTGTGCAGGCCACACTGTCTAAGGGGGACAGTGATGGCCACTCAGTTCGAGCCACATGGTTCAAATTTCTTTTCTGCCGAAGTGGGAAATTCTGATTTTTTGGGAAATTTTGCCAGTCGGTAAAATATTGGGTGGGATAAGCTAAATATTTCTGTAGACGAATTGCCCATAAGATCAAAAGCCTCGAGAGTTCAACCTTTGATCTTTACCAATGCAGGAGGAGTGCAGATGGGTACTGATGGTGGGAAGGATGTTTCGAGTACAGGGAAGAATGTGAGGGAAGGGAAGTCACAATCATTACAGAGAATGAAAAGTTCCGGAATGGTCTTGCTAGAGACAAGGGAGAATGGGCTTGGGACAGGAGTAGGAAGAGAGTAGAGTGAGATGAAGGCCTGGGGCCTCCCAAACCAGCTGAAAAGTAAGAGCTTTTGGTCAGTAGAATTTTATTGGGAGTATCTTGATGGATTCCGTAGCAGTGTGCAACATGGGGTGGAGAAAAAAGAAAGTTGAGACAAGGAGACCAAATTACATAAAGGCAAATGGTAGACATGCCTGGACCAAACTGGCATCCATAAGTATCACCGAGAAAGGTCCAAGGTTATTGTGAGAGATGGTACACCATGGGCGTAAGGAAAGGAGGCAAAGACGGATGGATGGACGGATAAATGGATGGATGGATGGATGGATGGATGGATGCTGGGATTATTAACAGTAGATATCAGACAAGAGTTTGGGGGGCTTCTCTAAAGGATGATGACTAGGTTTCGTGGGGTCTGTCTTGAGCACACAAGGACGATGACTAGGATTGTGCGGCATGCATTGGGTAGTGTATGCGCTTGCAATTGGAGAAACAAATAATTTGTGTAAGGGTGGCCATCTCTTAAGAATGTAGAACTTAGGTTCAAAATTGTGCTTAAGCCGGTCTATTATGAGCAGTAAGCTATAGAACTGAAGAGTCTGCGTATCCGAGAATTACGTCCCATTTTGGGAAATGAGGAAAACGGCTAAAGATCCCAGAAGTTGTGAGTTGTTGGAAGGTGGTCTAACTATAGCTGGGGTAGAACCTCAGTCTTCACATTCTAGGTTTTGCTTTTGTCTTATACGAGCTCATGGAGCCAGATCATAAAGTATAAATCATAATTTGGTGCCTACCCTAAGTATACTAATTAACACTGAATTACTTCCTTGATTACTCCTCAAACTCTCTCCTAACGAGAAATTTTTTCTCCACATATTTTTGAGTATTTTGTCTTTCCTCTCTTCCCTCCCTCCCCTCCTTCCTTCCTTCCTTCCTTCCTCCCTCTCCCCCAGTGCCCTTAGACTTACTTCAGTGTGAACTGACCAGTCGCTCAGCCAGGGCTCACCTGCCATCCTGGGGTCCCCTCACATCATGCAGGCTTTCCCTGTGCTCCTTTCCATTGCTGACCCCCTTTATTCCTGATCGCTTGTCTGCTTCCTTCTTGGTTCGTGCTCTTATTTTGGTGGAAGATATCTTCATTGGCTCTATGAGAAAGAAAGGGTTCATGGAAAGTAAGTTTTTGAGACCTCATATGTCTAAAAATCCCTATTCCATGCTTGCAACTTGATTGGTAAGTTAGCCTAATGTGGAATTAGGACCTAGGATCTTCTCTCGGCACTACGAAGGTAATCCCCTGACTTTTCATTTCCAGTCTGTCTTCTTTTTGAAAGCCTGGTGGCATTCTGGTTCTTGAATCTTTCTATGTAATAATTTTTTCTTTCTAGCAACTTTGGAATGTTCTCTTTCCGTATCTTTTCCTATCCCCAGTACTACAGTCCTGTGCCTTGACTCATGACTCTCATTCATCGTGTTGGGTAGTCTGCGGGTTCTTTCATTCTGGAAATCCGTGTCCTTCTATTCAAGAAAATATTCTCAAGTTATCTCTTTGGGGTTTTGTTTGGTTTTGGTGTTTTGGTTCTGTTTCTGAACCTCTTATTGCTCAGATATGAAACCTCCGGAACTAGTCATCTGATTTTTTTTTTCTTTCCTATTTTCTATTTTTATTCCTTTGTTCTTTGAGTCTTTTCTAGCTTTCTCAGTTTTTCTTCCACTTTCTATTCAGGTTTTTGTTTCAGCTATTTCTTTTTGTTTCTGAAAGCTCCTTTTGTTCTCTGGTCCTCTTTGTGGTATTGAGCTTCTCTCTCTGCATATATTAATCATAAAAAATTTTTTAAGTCTTCTCCTGAGTAGTGTCTGTTTCAAGGGTCTGCATTTTGGTGGGGGGTGGGGTGCTCTGGACCCTGTCTTTACTACTAGAGGCCTTGCTCAGTTGTCTGGTGGCCTTGGCTGTATGCTAATATTTGAAAACTGGGGACAAAAAAAAAAGCTAACTGGTAGCTCTGAACACATGGATGGTGTGTGTCAACTAGACTTCCCTCTAGGATAATCTGGCAGACGTTTCTCCTTGAGGAACAACCAGTAGCGATATCTTGAAGAGCTTTGTTCTAGAGCCGATCAGATTCCCATAGAAGGTGCTTCCCATCTCCTGTCAGGCCGGGGAGGGGGGTGGAAGGGGGGGGAATCCTGTCTGGCAGCATTCTGGCAGCTAGGTGGGGAAGAAAGCAGGGATCGTACCATTCAGTAGGTGAATGATCACTTATGTCCCCTGGTAACATCACCTGTTTTTCACCTGGTATCCACCAGTCCTGAGTTCATGTGTTAGACTCTTTCTAGAGTATAGATCTCAGAGTTGTACTCAGGGGAATGAGGGAGAAAAGTGGTAAAAGGGATTTGAGCCTCTACTTAATAGGCTTTCAACCAGTTCTTGGATTTTTTGCCCCATCTTCATCCTCATTTCCAGAAGCTGCCATCCCTGAGCTGTTGATACGTAGATACAGATATGATATCAAGATGGAAGTCAGGTTAATTTTGGGCTCTCCCCATGGGGAGCTAAAGATTTAGCTTTCTGTCCTTGGCAAAGCTATTCATCTACTTTCAAGCTCTCAAACTTTTATGCTTTTATTGATGTGTTCTATTTTCCCATTGGTGTTGGTTTTTTTGTTTTTGGGGGGTTCTTTTTTTTGGTCTTTGTGGGTTGATGCCTTTTTAAAATTGTTCTAATACAATTGTAGGGGGGTTTCGGGAAAGAGTAGAGGACACATTGCTTACTATCTTTAACTGGAAAGTCCCTTTGAAGTGACTGCTTGTCTGTATCAGATTGATTTATGATCTCAGGTGGTTGGCAAAACTTTTACCGGCACCTGTCAGTCATCTAAGCTCCTTTATCCACTTCTCCTTCTTGGGTATTGTGTAGATTCCATTGGCTTACATCGAGTAGAGAACATTAGCCACACGGAACCTGCTGTGAGCCTTCACTTGTACAGCCCACCGTTTGATACGTGCCATGCCTTTGATCAAAGAACAGGACATAAAAACAAAGTCACCATGACATTCCATAGCAAATTTGGAATCAGGACTCCATTTGTAAGTAGAAGTTCTCTCTCCTAGGATTAAGTGCTTTGTGGGTTGGCAACGTGACCCTGTACGCATTGATTTTTTTCTTGTCCCAGATACTATTCGAATGTCTCATGGTAAGTATTCTTGAAGTGAAGAATGAGGTGAACTTTAATGTGGAGGAGGGGACCCTTATATCCTAATTCTTTTTTTTAATTTGGGAGAGGTTATTTTCCATTTATATTTTTTTAAAAACATAAATTAGATGCAAAGAATTATGTGTGGAGGAACTTAAAAGTGTATGCTTATTCCTAAAGAAAATGTTTCTTCATTTCTTAGAGAAATAAGAATAAAAACTATTATTTGATGTTAACTACTTCTGCTCTGACTTAATGTTCACAGGCCTATGAACTAGGACAACACAAATCACTCCCATAGTTAACCTTCCCAAAGTCAAGGCCCTATTCTGATGATATAAATACATCCACCTGTTTTGATTGCCGGGCTGCTTTTTCTTGGAGCAGTGCTACTGTTTAGGCCACAAATCAGTGAGAGTAGACTCTGGTAATGTGTTCCCCCTGGAGGAATAAGTGTTTCCTCCTGAAAATAATCAGGCAGCCAACAGTGATTGGGTATGGCCAGTCTTCTCCTGCTGGTGAAATACATTGGCCATTCAGGGGAATGGTCTGGAATTCATAACAAGAATGTCCAGAAATAGACAATGCCTGAAAACCAGTACTGGAAACTATCCTCACAAATCTTAAGAAAATACCACCTCGGAGGGAAGTGAGGGCAGAATTTTCTCAGGTGATTGCCCAGCCTCATTGTCTGCATTCCGATCCCCAAGAGATAGTCTTATCACAGGAACAAAACAACAGGGCTCCCCAGCCAAAGCCAAGTTTTCATATATGGCTAGAAAAGCAAGGACTCCTTAGGAACCGACTGAAAGTTCTTGCGTAAAGATTCTTACACAACTTTCTTTGTCTCTTATAGACAGCTTCGGGATCCCTGGAGAACAACTAAGGAGCACCAAATCCTCTAAGGTTTTAGCTTAAGGTCTGCTAAAAGTTTTGCCCTGGACAGGGATGCCTCCAGCAGTTGCTGTCCATAATACACTTTACGAAGCCAATACTTAGATCTCCTGCAAGGCAGATGCTAATTGTCAAGCATTGAGCAAGTGGATAGTACCCCAAGCTACTGCAGAAGAAAAATCACACACTAAAGGAAAAACGGGCTCGTAATTTTAAAGGCCAATTCAAGTGCTGTCCTGGTTTTATCCTCTGAATTCAGTGGAACCGTATGGGGGGAACGTCAATGAATGTCAACAATTCAATGAAGATTTTTAGAGCTTTTGGAAACCCTTTGGTCTCTGAATTGTAATTAGCAATAAATAAAAACAAGAAACCACAGACATCAGATGCTTGCCTTGTTACTTGGAGGACTAAATGTAGGGGTCTTTCGTATCCTTTGTATGTTCTTAATATTTGCAGAGAATTTTTTGAATCTATGGATTTTATTTTTTCAGTCTTACTTGACAAATTCCTGTCCGATAAGTAGCAGAATATTGTAGACAGAGAAACTCAAGGCACTTTGCCATTTGGTAATGAAAGGGAGGGCAGAAGATTTTAGGAAAGTACCTGTACCCCTAAACCCAGGCCAGACCAAAAACACAAACTCATGTCTAATGTGTCCAGTGGTCCTAGTCAAAGACTTTGTATAACCACTAAAATTGCCAAATAATTTTAATAAAACTGGATTTGAATACAATTCAAAGTTGTCTTTCTGTTTAACTTGATTGGAATTTCATTTAATTCATACTTTCTTAGATTTCGATGGGGTGCCAAAAGCACTGCAAAAGATGCTTTTATGAGATAAGGTGTTGAGAGGGCCAAAAAAAAAAAAAGCATTCAAAGCAGCTTACCTTTTTGTACTTCACGTATGTTCACTAAATGGCCAGAGATACCAAGTCCAGGGCCTCTGGCCGCCGTGTGGTTGGCTAATATGAGCAGTTTTGCCTGAAAATAATGTGTGGGTCTGTGCTTCAATGGGAATTGGTTCCCAGCATTTAAAAATAAGAGATTTCATAGAACAACGTGGAGATTTCTAGCTTCTTGAAAATTTGACGTCCCTGCATTGCATTTTCATTGATGTCAGCTGGGCTCAGATCTGCCCCTTCCAATGGGGCTACCGCTCCGGTCTGGCCCACCGTCCAGCTTGCTGGTTTGTCCTGTTGATGTTACCGACAAAGACCGCATATGTATTTTGAGTTTGCTGCTCCGACTTCAGGCAGTCATTTTAGGAATACCTGTCATAATCTTGGAATTGATTATTTCCAGAAACTTACTCAGAAAGTAAAGTCCTTTGAAGACGGTTCTATGTAGATCGTTGCTTGGTTGTTGACACCATCTTGTAGAATTTATTTATATCTTTATGACATCTTTGTTTCCCTCTCATCTTTGAGAAGGATGTTAACCACTTACTGGGTGCTTACTACATGGTAGGCATTGTTACAAGTTGTTTAGAGGTACTAACTTCTGGGAAATTTCTTGATGCATTAGGTCATGTGTTGGTTTTCTACTGCTGCTTTAACACCTTTTACCACAGACTTAGTGGCTTAAAGCCACACAAATTTATTTTCCTGGAGCTCCATGGGTCAGGAGTCTGTTTCACAGCATCAAAATCAAGATGTCAGCAGGCCTGCATTTCCTTTCTGTGAGTTCTGTGTCGAATCTGGTTTTGGGGGTGATTTTCTTTTCTTTTTTTTTTTTTTAAGATTTTATTTATTTATTTGACAGCGAGAGAGGGAACACAAGCAGGGGGGAGTGGGAGACGGAGAAGCAGGCTTTCGCGGAGCAGGGAGCCTGATGTGGGGC